GTATGCAGACCGTGGGAGACCAGAGGATTTGTGGAGGGCGTGCTGCGAGGGTGGGAACGGCAGCATGGACACGCGTTCCCCGCCCATGCGTCCTGACCAGACGGAATCCCCTCGACGCTTCCTCCAGCCATGCGACCGCGCACGGCCGTCGATCCTCAGGCTATTCCGGGGCTGAACACCGCCCTTTCCACCCATCAGATACCTGAACAAAGTTTTCATAGCACCACTGCGTAGCAAAATTGGTCTCGGCCCAAGAGTTGTAGACATTCAGCAGGGCAATGTGGTCCCCTGTATGAGGGGGCCGGAGGTACACGATGACAAAACAGGGGCATGCGCAATGATCAGAGCTCAACCACGGCCCTGGCATGGGATCGCTGCAGCCAAGGAGGCTGCGGAATGCGTGCCCAGTTCAACAATGGGCACCCCAGCACTGGCCCTTCAATCTTTCTAATGTGTGGCTGAAGGGACCCCTCTCCACATCATCCATCCCCTGCACCCACCGACGTTGCCTCTGTAGAAGGCCTTGTGCGCGTTGTCCGCGTGCACCTGCTTGTCCTTGGGGCGGTAAAAGACCGAGCCGCCGATGGACACCATGGCAGCTATGGTGGCCACCTCCTCTGTGTTCAGGGGGAGAGGCCAGCAGGCAGCGGCGATGAGTATGGGGCTGGCGCAGGGCATCCAAATCAATGGGAGCCCCCGCATGTGCACGCGACACCTGGCCGCTCGTGACTCCATTCCTCCTTGCGCACCCGACACGCCATGCTTCTCGCTGTTGATGATCATCTTGGCCAGCATGGGGTCCACCGGGAACTCGGCCATCTTGCGGCCTGCGTGGCGACAGGGTGCCATGGGATGGAGAGGGGGACAAACGAGAGGGGATGCAAGGGGACGTACGCTAGTCCCCAGCACGCAGCATGCCCTGCCAGGTGAGAGGGGTGCTGTTGTTCCAGAAGCAATTTTATCGCCAAAGCTGCCCCTTACTGGACATCCAGCAACAAGAGGATTTAATCTGATAGGAGATCCAAAATCCTGTGCGCTCTGCCAAATCTGCTTCCCATACCCAGGCAGGCATCAATGCAGCATGCACCGCCGATGTACAACCACCCCAGCCACACAACCCCTCACCCATGGTGGTGAGCTCGCCCTTGTCATTCAGCGCGCCAAGCGCATACAGCTGCTCCAGCGCCCTCAGCATCGTCTCTGTGTCAGAGAGGGGTGCGGGCCAGGGTTTGGTGCGGGCATGGAGCCGCAAGGCATGCCCCAGCAGGAGTCCATGGTGGCCAAGCATCCAAACTCCCCTGATTCAATGCTGCGCTTCCCATCGAATTGAGTGGGCGTGGCACACTAGCGTATGCTACGTCCAGCAATCGTCAGGGGTAATACAGCACTGGGTGTTACCCTGGAGCCTCGAGGAATCCCCCCTCCCCCTGCCCCGGCTGCCGCCAGAGGCCCCCCCGCCCGTTCACCACCCACCGGTGGGCGGCGGGTCCATGAAGTCAAAGTTGATGAGGTCGTTGATGCCCAGCGACTTGAGCATGAGTACCACATTCCCCAGATTAGTCCTCTGGATCTCCGGCACCGTGGAGTCCTCCAGTTCATGCTGATACGCCCAGGCCGTGTACAGCCGGAAGCACTTGCCCGGCGCGGTGCGCCCCGCGCGCCCTGAGGTAGAGAGGGGGGGCTGAATTTAGGACCTGTCACAGGCAAGGCATTCATGATTGTTACAGAAGCCCGAGATGGCTCGCCCAACCCCAAGCAAGACCAGGCAGCGCCACTATACAGGCGCGTGACTGAATGTGTTGTGAACCCTCAGAACATCACGACTCGTTGTCAGCACCTGCACGTTGCAGCGCCGACGCCTTGGAGATGGGGGTGACCTGCAGCGACTCCATCCCTGTACGTGGGTTGTACGAGTTCTGCTTGCAGAAGCCAGGATCTATCACGTACTGCATTGGCCGGGGAAGGGGATATTTGTGCGTGTGAGTCTTGGGCAACCCTCATCTGGGTAAGGATGGGAGGGGTGGAGCCAACCAGGAAAGCACCATGCTGCCATCCTCTCAGAGGCTAGGCCCTTTTCCAGCAAAACTCCGATCACGATCCACAATCTCCGATCATTATCAATCCACAGTAAGACAACCCCTTTCAAAAACCCTCCCATACCACCGATCGACCTTGATGCCATCGATGGTGAGCGACGTCTCGGCAATGTTGGTGGCAATGACCACCTTGCGTGCACCGGGGGGGGTAGTCTCGAAGATCTTGGCCTGCATGTCCGAGGGCAGGTTGGCATAGATGGGGGCGATGATGAGCTCCCCGATCTTGCTGCCCATGCCGCGGGTGCGCTGCAGAGGGTGAAGTAGGGGGTCAGGTGGGCGAGGAGGTGAGCAGCCGGGGAGGGTCCAGGGCTGGTGATGGCCCCATCAAAACGAGTGGGACCTGCCCTTGCCGGCACAGGAACACCCTTCAAGGCCAACCACCAAGGCCCGATTCACCGAAATGGACACATGCTCCCACCTGGCGAAGGAGCTCCTCGCAGGCCTCAATCTCCTCCTGCCCCGTCAGGAAGATGAGGACGTCCCCCGGCGGCTGTGTGACGTGGATCTGCAGCGTGGTCACCGCCGCCGCGTGCAGGTAGTCTGCCTCGGGGGCCTTAGTGTACAGGATGTCCACTGGGTACCGCCGGCCCGGGATTCTGCATGGAATACAGGAAAAGGAGCGATGACAAGGGGAGTTTGGCAGCATTGATTGCTCGATGCCGCAGTTTTGAGATCAGACCACCCTGGCCACGCTTTGCAGCAGGTGCACGGATGTGTCAAGAGCCTGAAACATGGCTCAAACAGCTACTGAAACCAATTTCTTCTCCTACACACCCCACAAACACTCACCGAAAGATGGGGGCATTGTCAAAGTACTCGGAGAATTTCTCGGCGTCGAGCGTGGCAGAGGAGATGAGCAGCTTCAGCTCCGGCCGGAAGCGTGCAATGTCCTGCGACCACGCCGGATGTGACGGGGATGAGTATGCTGAGGGGCTGGACGTCTGGAGAGGCCCGTATTATGTGGTGGTGAGAGTGCCCATCTAAGTTACACTCTAGCCGCACACTGCCAAGCATCGCGCTCCTAATTCTGCAGACATAATTAAAAAACCCTGCCCGGCGTACCTTCACCAGCCCAAAGAGGACGTCGGTGTGGAGGGTGCGCTCATGCGCCTCATCCACCATCATGCAGCTGCAGGGTCGCGAGGGCAGGACTGAGCAAGGCAAAATGAGATTCAGAGGTTCAAGGTTCCACCCCGCAGCAGCATAATGAAAGACGCAGCGGCCTCTCCCAGGAGGCATTGCTGCCCAAGCGCTTCCACGGCAATTGCCGCTGCATTCAACTCTCAAGGCACACCCTCACCTGTACCCGGCCAGATCCGGTTCTGAGAGGAACTCCCGCAGCAGCATGCCGTCTGTCATGTACTTGAGCACGGTCTTGTCGCTCGTGCAGTCCTCGAAGCGGATGGAGTAGCCCACCTCGGCCCCCAGCTTCACGCCGACTTCCACAGCCACACGGGCCGCCACCGACATGGCAGCCACACGCCTGGTCGGAGGGTGCGCGAATGGGGCGGTGTGGAGATGGAGGGCATCCGACACGCCAAGACCACTCAACGACAGGGGTGAGTGTACGTTGATCTCCGCAGCACCTGGCTGGCATGGGCGGGCATCACCATGCTCAAGAACCAAGGTCCACCGGTGCGCCACGCTTGCGCTGCGTCGCACCAGGAGACAGCCGGCGTGCAGGAATTCCCACACAACCCCCTCAAGAAACCCTCTCCAGGCCCGGCCCATTCCCGCACCTTGGTTGTGTACAGCCGATCTTGCCGGCCTTGCCATACCCTGCCTCGTATAGGTACTGCGGGATCTGCGTGGTCTTCCCCGACCCCGTCTCGCCGACGATGATGAGCACCTGGTGCTCCGCAATGGCCTTCAGCAGATCCTCCCTGCACCCAGGCGGCCACTGGTGAATGAGGCACGGGGTGGTGCAACAACCGCCACAGACAAGAATGGTGAGCTGCACACGGCTCGTGCGCTGCGTCTCGAGGCTACCTAGGACTCTGTGAGCCCGAACCCCCCACACATGCCTGTAGGGGAACATGGGCAGCCGCCGGCGGTCCTCTTGTATCTGCTCGAACTCGGTGCGGGCCTCTGCCTCCCGCTCCTGCCGCTCCCTCTCCGCCTGCTCCTCTCTCGTCTCCTCCTTGACCTGCGCAGGTACCCAGACCCGTCATCGGTGCACTTCCGAGTCACGGGAATCCATCCTACGCTCAGGGAGCAGTCGAAGACCGGTACGAACCCAGGCATGGGCAGGAGGTGTTCCCCCCCCCTCAGCTTCCCCAGCACTCCTCTTCCTCCAACTCCCCGGGCACCCACAAAGCCTCTGCTCACCAGGAGTTCGCCCTCCCCTCCCAGCATCTGGTCGACGATGAACTCCACCTGGTCCTCAAACACATAGTCATAGGCTGGTGCCTGCGCCGCCTTGGCGCTGGTCTTCACCGCCTTCCGGATCTGCTCTGCCTCGAATGCCTCCTGCTGCGCCCAGGGCGCGTCCGGCACCTCGTCCTCCTCCGGCTCGCGGTACCGCTGCGTCAGCACCTCGTAACGCTTGTCTGGCGCGGTGCCGGGCGCGTCGTAGCTGCCGGGCAGGTGATAGGCATCGTCGTGCTCCAGCTCGTCTGAGAAAGGATATGCAGGACGGGGGTTGAGGGAAGGGCTGTTTGAGCGCATGGTGAGGCCGTAATAGGGATCAGGCTACCCAAACAAAGGGCTGATCTGGTGATGGCACCCCTCCAGCTTGTGTGGAGTCTCGCTGTGTGGTGCAGCATCGTGCAGCAGAGGCAGCCCCAAGCACTGGTGGCCTTACACTCCGCACACGGAAGGCCCTTGCATGTACAGTCCTGGCTCCAGCAGAGCCCTTTCATGGCACCTCCAAGCCACCCAAACCCCTCCCATCCTCTGATGATCCCTGGACGCCACACCCCCTGTCTCACCCAGCTGCTTCTTCCTCTCCACGGCCAGCCGATACACCTCCTCCTTGTATGCCAGGTCCCGCCGCTCCTTCTCTGTCATCTTCTTGCCCTGGAAGAGGAACTTCTCGTCCTCCAGCGCGTCCTTCAGCTCCTGGAGCTTGGCCTCCTCCCGCTTCTTCAGGTACTCCTGCCTCGACATGTCCCTGGCGGATCGAGTGGTGGAGGTGTGGTGGAAATGTCGGGGACCGCACCAGGCAGCGAACCAAGGACCAAGGGGGAACGGCGCTCTGCCACATCAGCGGCAGAGCGCCAGATCTTCCTGGTCCGGTTCTCCCTGAGGGAGCCTCGACGTGCAAAACTCCCTGCGATCCGCCCCGAGGCCCACCACCACCACACTGACAGCGCAAAGCAAGCAGCTCCTGCCTGCTTGCCAGGACAATACCTGTCAGCCAACGCTCTCCTTTAGACCTCCCGCCAAACCCAGCCCACCTGAGCATCCCGGTGACGGCCGAGCGGTCCTCGGCGGCCTCGGCGGCGCGCCGCCTCTGCAGGTCCTCCAGCTCCTCCCGCGGGATCTTCTTCTCGGCGAGCTTGCGCGTCCGCGCCTCGTCCTTTTCCCGCAGTCGCGCCTCAAAGTCCTCCTTCGCTGCCTTGTCGGCCTCGCGCGCCGCCTCGCGTGCCTCCAACTCGGCCGCCGCGGCCGCCGCTTCGGGGTCCTGCCCGGCCGGATCCTCCTCCCACGCGCGCTTCCTCGCCGGCCTGGCGACCAGGGCTCCCTCTGCGCCGCCGTCATCATCGTCGCCCGGCCGTGACTGGGTGGAGGAGGGCAAGATTTGGGCATGAAGTGGTCGGGGTTGTGGAGGGACGGCCAGCACACAATGCAGAGCAGTGGAGACACTGTGCTCCAGACCCTCACGCGGCTCGGCAGCCCACCTTGCGGGTGCTGCGCCGCTTGGAGCTCTTGCTCCCGCGATCTGAACCCCCATCCCTGCCCTCCAGGGGGCCACCAGGGGAGGGGGCGGTGCGGGGCTGCTCCCCGGGCGCGTCGTCGTCGGCGACTATCAGGCTGTAGGCCTGGTTCCGCCGCGCGGCTGCCACGGCCTCTGCGTGGGCCTGCCTCTGCGCCGAGACCGCAGCAGATGCGCCGCTGGTACCTGCGCCGCTGCATCTCGACAGCAGGTCGATTGCAAAGCTGCGGGTGGCCTGGGAAGCCGGCAGCCCCTGCGCATGGGGGGGGAAAGGGGATTCCTATGCCTCCAGCTGCGCTTGTGATTGATGCAGGTGCACCCCATCGTGTGCCTTAGGCGGGACGCCCTCATCGACTCGCGTCCCACAAGCCTTACCTGAGCCTCAAGGGTCGTGCAGAGAGCGTCGGGGTGCTTGGCACGGCGAGCGATGGACACCACGTAGTCCACCAACGCCCGCTCAGCGAAGCCTGCAATCACAACGATGAGGCACACACATGGCATCCGGTTGACAGGGGAAAGAAGACTTCGTGATCGCGCCCGCATTGCAAGCAGCGACACTCACCGAGAAGGGCGTGGAGCCTCTCCTCCACCCAGCCCCTCAGCGCCTTGTCTCCCGACATTTCGTCCTCGTCAGTATTTAAACATACTGTTGCTCAGGCTCATGACTGTTGACCAGGGATGCCTGTGATCGATGTATAAGCCGTGGGTCCCAAGCACCTCCAGCCTGGACGTGCCGCCAGGTCATCAGATCGCATCGGCTGCACTGGTGCATACTCCGTTACGCATGCGATCCAGCTAGCATTGTCACGACCATGTGCTGCCGTGATTAGCGTCATGTCTGATGGTAAAGGTGAGACTTTGCACTGTAGGAACGCCGAGCTGGGCGCCGTCTTGACTCACACCCCAGGTGCACGCAATCGGGACGAGATACTCGAACAATTCACCCACCCTTCACGTGGCAGTCGTGATTCTGTTCAAGCAAACCGGGGACGCTCCATTGCTGAAACAAGCCAAAGTCAAGGTGCCAGGGCTCGGAATCTTGAAGGGAGGGGCAAAAGTCGGTGCTGTTGCCACTGAGAGTGGGCATGCTCTTGGACGCCTGAAGACGCCATTCCCTGCCACTTTGCAGGTCGACGGCCAAGAGAGGTTCTCCAAGCTGGTAGAGTTCCTGCGCAAGAAGCTGGGCAAGGACCAAGTGGTGAGTCCTGGCACTAAGACTGATCCCCTGTGTGACGTCGCCGAGTTTGGTGGCAACATCGCTGAATCCAGGGAGCGCTGCGCAGCCTCACCTGCAGCACCCACCTCCACTGGGTTCCGTTCTCCTATCTCATCCACAGTTCCTGTACCTAAAGGAGGCATTCTCTCCTTCTCTGGAGGAGCGCATCTCCGTCCTGTACGAAGCTTTCGGTGTGGACGGCCGCCTCGTGGTGAATTACGCCTGCATCCCGGCCTGGGGTTAGCAGCAGAGGGAAGGGGGTAGCTCCAGACCTGCTCTGGTAGAAGGTGAGCAGCTAGACGGGGACGGCGGGATTTTGGTATGGGGGCACTGTGACAGCTACTTCTGAGTCCGGTACTGGGGTAGACCTGAGCTCGGGCACACCTCACGGCCGTCACCTAGCGCTCCCTCCCTCAAGCCACGTCCCACCCACCACCATCGCCACCGCCAGGCGGCGAGGCCTCCCGAGCCAGATGCCGCGCTTCTTCTTCCTCACCACCTCCAAGGCGGACAACCTGCGCGCCTCCGTCGCGCGCGGTGGATGGGCCTGCGCCCCCGGTGTGGCCGTGCGCCTCGTGGACGCGCTGCAGGGACCGGAGCCGGTGCTCGTCTTCCTCTCCGCCCGCCCCACCGGCAACTTTGCGGGCATGGGGCGGCTGGCCTCGCCGCCCCTACTCGGCCAGAACGTGCCGTGGGAGGGCGACCGAGACCTTGCCCCGCCCTGCGCCCTCGAGTGGTTCTTCCGGCACGACGTGCCGTTTGCCGAGGCCGAGCACATCAGGTGTGTGTGAGGGGGGGGGAAGGGGCGTTTGGGGGGGTTGGGGAAGGGAAGCACGACAGCGTTGGGGAGGCGGAGGGACGGCCACGGCACGGGCACGAGTGCAGGTGGGGCGCCCCCTTCCATGTGTACGAATGCTCACATTCTTTTCTGAAGGGGAAGGAATGGGGGCCCCGCAGGGCCTTCTGACCTCCTGACCGGTAATATGTGAGCGTTGCTGGTGCCCCTCTTGGCCTGTCACCCTTCCTCCCCCGCCCCGCCCGGCCCCGCCAGGAACATGATGGACGACGGCCGGCCTGTCCGTTCCGGGAAAAACGGGCAGGAGGTGGACCCGGCCGCCGGCGCGGCCCTGGCGGCGCTGCTGGAAGGCGCGGCGCGGGCGGCGGGCGCCGCGGCGCCGCCCCTGCCCTCCGCGCCCCTGAGCCTGGGGCCGCGGCCTGCGATGCCCGGGCCCATGGTGGGGCCGCCGGGGCAGATGATGATGAACCCCATGCTGGCCGCGGCCATGGGCGGCTTTGCCGCGCCCGGCATGATGATGCACCCCGCTATGGCCGCCATGCAGGGCATGGGTGAGCGGGCAGGGATGGGGAAGAGGGGGATGGGGGGAAGGGGGGGAGGGGCCGAAGGGG